AGTGATTTACAAAGGCTGCATATGGAGCAAGAGTGAGGATTGTGAGATGAGATCACCGTTAGATTGGCTGACCTTTTAGATCTTGCTTCTGGAAGATGATTCAGACAAGCTGATTGAAACCAATAAAACACATTGATCTACATTCTACCCGTTCTAAGGATAAGCGCTCGAGAAATATATATATATATATATATATATATATATATATATATATATATATATATATGAAGTGAGGGGGAAAATCTTCAGGCCATGTGGGTTTCCTTATAGCTCAACAATTTATATATGTTGGTCATAGGCCCATTATGTTTAGTAAGATCAGTTATTTATATATATATATATATATATATATATATCAAGAGTATATATCAAGAACAATTTTATGTGAGCGTGTGAATGATTCGACCAATGTATTTGCTCACTCCACCAATTTCGAAGTTGTTTTTCGTTTGATTTATATATTTTTTTTATTTTATTTATTTATTTATTTTTATTTTTTGAAAAATGAGTACCTATGGTTACAATATCTCTGTTTCCATTCCCCCGCGAAAATTCCAATGTAAACATTATAATTCTTCATTTTTTTCTTTGGGGGAAATGATCACTTGATACATAAACCTAATAGATTTGCATTTACGCTCTACTGGACAATTTTCTTTAGATCTACAACTACAGGAGGGTTTAGTACCAGGTTTGTCATTTGTCCCATGAAAATTTCTTAATATGGTTATTGTTGCGTTATATATATATATATATATATATATATATATATATATATATATATATACGTAATCTAACTGACAAATTTTCTTGACCAAAACTGCTTTCTAAATTATTAGCAGCTGAAAATTTATGGGTGATAGCATGTTGGTTAAACCGTAAAATTTTCAGCACCTCTTCGTTCATACTTTTCTGATTATGTATGTGTATATATATATATATATATATATATATATATATATATATATATATATATATAGAGAGAGAGAGAGAGGGGGGGAGTGAGGGAGGAGAGAGGTTGTTTACTTATTCTAATCTTTTATAATCATGTATTTCCGTCTACAGTGACTATATTTATTTTCTTTATTTTTTATGTTTATTTTTTTCCTGAACGCTTTCATGTGTTTTCTTTCCTTTTTTTTTCAGAATTACGCATCAAATTTCCTGTTTTTCATTGATAAAATCCACGCCCACACATCCCTGGAATGCTTTATGGAAACAGACAAGCATATAAGAGTGTGCACTGGAAAGTTCTACTCCCTACTTACATCCCAGCATCTGACCAAATTCCAAATGTCATCTCTCACTCTATATATATATATATATATATATATATATATATATTATTAAAATGTACCATATTTATATAAAAAGGATACTCATTATCAGGAACAGTGTGTTTATAGTTACAAAAAATACAAACACAGAAATCATGACAGTTACTGTTCCTCTCAGGACTAAATCGATTGTGAAGCTATTTGTTCCTCATTCTTTTAGCTCTATATAGAGGGTCTGCGGAAAAGTGACTTATGAGAAATGGGCTTTTGTCCTCCTGTTTTTTAGGACTATTGTTTTAGATTATTTATAGTCCTGATTTTAACTGGTCTCTTTTTTTTATTCGTGTATTTGTTCATTGATTTATTTAACTTTATTTATTTAGTTTTTATGTTGCAGAAGATCTGAAAATAGCACCGACGTACAAAGGGCACAACACTCTAAAAACGCATATGAGATCTCAGAACGCAAACACGAGATCCAAAACCACAAATATACCAAAAGTATATAGAAAATACGAACAACACAAACTGTAAGCGAAATAAAGGGTTCAGTTCGACATTCCAACCAACTGAAAAAAGCCGGAGCGTACAACTGCCGAAGCGCTGTAATAAATATGGCGACAAAGATGAGGATAATAGTCTGAATAATGTAAATAAAGTACATAATACCTCATCTCAGCAATATAGACAGATACTGAAGGGTGATAAATATGGCGACGAAGATGAAGACAATAGTCCGAATGATGTAAATAGTGTACATAATACCTCATCTCAGAAATATAGACAGATACTCTAGGGTGATAAATATGGCGACAAAGATGAGGACAATAGTCCGAATAATGTAAATAGTGTACATAATACCTCATCTCAGAAATATTGACAGATACTGAAGGGTGATAAATATGGCGACAAAGATGAGGACAATAGTCTGAATTTATATAAATAATGTACATAATACCTCATCGCAGAAATATAGACAGGTATCGCCCCTTGTGAATATGTTGTTTTGAGTGCAGTGCTTTTTGTGTATTTATGGTGTAACTGATTCACACTTTTGTGCGTTCATATCAAACAATCTCTCCTTATTTCTACCTATGATTTATTTATAATTATTAATATTCACCTCTCCACACTCTCTTAGGTGCTCCATCTCACCCCATCTCCAGCTCACTCCCCCTCTATCCATCCCTCCACCCCCTCTCTCTCCCTCTCTCTCTTTTTCT